AAGAAAGATAGATTTCTTGCCCTCACAAATCTTAACTTTTAGTTTCTATGAGATAGAATGGGACCCCCCAAAAAAGAATTTTTAGCAAACATTTTTCAAATTTGATTTTTTAAAAGGCAAATCATTGACCCAAGAAGCTCAGTAAGTCCCAAGTAGAAAAAAAAAAAAAAAAACAAAAAAGCCATAAAAAACACATGGAGGGATTTAAATACACATAGCTAAGAGAAAGAAGCCAACCGGAAAAGGCTATGTACTACCTCATGTCAACTCTGTGACGTTCTAAAAAACACAAAACTATGGAGACAATGAAAAGATCATTGGTTCATAGCAATGGAGTTTGAGGGAATTGGGAGGGAGACGATGAATAAGCAGAGCATAGAGGATCGTTAGCAGGGCAAATGCTCTGTATGATATTATAACGATGGATATATGTCATTATACATTTGTCTAATCCCATAGAGTGTACAACACCAAGAGTGAATCCTAACATAAACTATGGACTTTGGATAATTATGATTTGTCAATGTCAGTTCATCCTTAGTAAAAATGTAGTATTTGGTGAGTGATGTTGATAATGGGCGAGCCTGTGCATGTGTGAGGGCAGGGGTTATATGGGAAACCTCTGTGCCATAATCTCAATTCTGTTATAAATCTTCTGTTGCCAAAGAAGATTCAAATAAATTCCAGGAGGTACTTTTAAAAAAGATGTGATTTAAATATAGACAAACAACAAAAACAAAATAAGACTATACTCCATAAAATATTAAAATAAACTAGGAGCAAATATTTCTATAATTCACAGAAACCATAGAAATACATAATAAAAATGAATTACCAACTTTTCTTCTATCAGTTTGGCAAAGATAAAAACATTTTGTTGGCAAAGTTTAGATAAATTGGCACTTTCATACACTGTGGTTAGGATGCAAATTGACAGATTTCTAGAAAACATGGGTTAATAAATATCATAATTAAAAGGAAAAATATACTTTTAACCCTGAACATCAAGAAAATTATCTGAAGAGATTATTGCATAAGTAACCAAAGAAATGTCTGCAAAAGACTATTTATAGCAATTTTGCACCTAATAGTAATAGATTTCTAAGTGCCTGGCATTGTACTATAATAATGCATTATTTAATCAAATCCCCCTGAACTTCATGAATTAAATATTATTTTACTTTCCTCTCAGATGAGAATACTGAGTTTAGACAGCACAGGTTAACTTTCAAAATATCACATTGGGAGCAGTGGGATTACAATGCAGATCATTCTGCTGTTTCATTTATTAGGACAGGAAGTAAATGAAATTAGTTCCGGCTGAGGTGGGCAGGAAGAAAATCTTGTGCCAAGAAGTAGGTGTTGGGTTAAGAGGACTTGAGACCCAGCACTGGGATTGTGTGTTTTAAGCAGATGAGTGGGGCAGGAGGAACTAAGCAGTGGTTCTCAACCTGTGGGTTGCGACCCCTTTGGGGGCCAAATGACCCTTTCACAGGGGTCGCCTAGGACCATCCTGCATATCAGATATTTACATTACGATTCATAACAGTAACAACATTACAGTTATGAAGTAGCAAGGAAAATAATTTTATGGTTGGGTCACAACATGAGGAACTGTATTTAAAGGGCCAGAAGGTTGAGAAACACTGAAGGCAAGAACAGAAGGTGTGTGCCTTGCTGGGTTAATCACTTCTCCAATTCAGTGGTTCGAATTCAGCAACTTTTAAGGGGAGGTCCTGAGCAGTACCAACTGGAAAAAATTCACTTAGTTTTCCTTTGCTCATAATTCTAAGTCAATCAGTGGGGCAGGTTGACAATTAGGTCATATCTACATAATGTGATCCAAGCACACATGTGATTATCATAGGCCCAGAATTGCCATCCTTTGTGAGTCCTTCTGTCTATGAAGGACTCCATTCCAACAAGGAAAAGGAAGAGAAAGAGCAGTTTAGAGACTTCCTCCCCTTCGTTCCCATTTCTTTTATTTTCCCCCAGCACAAAAAAGTTCTTAAAATTTCTGAACACGTGAGGAATAAACAGAGCAATCTGATGTCTTACTCTATGTAAAATTCTGCATTTGTATTTTTCTCGGCTCTTAATCAGACTGCTTTTAAAAAAAAAAAAGAAAAATCTGAACATAATTCATCTTTTATCCAGAGTCTTTTGACTTCATTAACTGACTAATGTCACAGGCTTGTTTAATATTGTGTGAGACTCTCTCCATTGTCCTTAACCCATCCTATTGCCACACCCCCATCCCACCTTTACCATTTCTGAAGAATTCTTAGACATTATATCTTATAATTTGCACTGGGATTTTGTCTGATTTCATGACTAATTTAATGACTTTAAGAAATTTGGCTCCTTGTTTTCCAGTTAGAAAACACTGAGAAGGAAGGCAGCACTATTCCAGGAAGCTTTTTTAAACAAGGTGTGGTAGTTATTACCTCACACAATATTGGGAGCTGGTGTTTATTACCTCCTTCTTCATTGCAGGGCAGGCATCTGGACAGCGGTACGCCGTATAATCTGAGTGAACCAGTGAGTAATTGCTTCTATTGTTAAGAACTGTACAGAGTTAGCAATGATTACAGAAAAGGGGGCAATGGTCAGGTTTTATTACAATAAGGTGTGTCCTAAGTAAAATCTCATTTCTTTGTCCCTGCTGGAGGAATGACAATAAAAAGTATAGTTATAAGTGAATGATAGACTATTCACAGATGAAGTCAGGGACAGTGTTGAAAGTGGAAAGAACACAGGACCAATCCAAGTCCGTTATTTTGATTCTACATATTTGCATGGTTTGGGGCAAATTATTTAATATTTCTGAGACTTAGTTTTATTATGTGTTATCTGAGAGGGTTGGATTAGGTAGTCTCCAATGTTTCTTCTAACTATTACATTTATGGTTTTATTACTTTTCTGCACCTGTGCCCATTTATTCAGCAGATGTTTAAATGATTCAAAGCATAAGTATGAACTAGGCACTGTGTTAGGTAACAGTGAAACAAATGAAAATGAGACCACAACAACCCAAAATCTATGGGGCACAGCAAAAGCAGTCTTAACAGGGAAACTGAGAACATTCCAGGCCTCCCTCAAGAAACAAGGGAAATCTCAAATAAACAATCTAACCTTCTATTTAATGGAACTGGAAAAAGAACAACAAAGCCCAAAGGGAGTAGAAGAAAGGAAATAATAAAGATCAGAGCAAAAATAAACAAAATAGAATCTAAATGAATAGTATAAAGATCAATGAAACCAAGAGCTGGTTCTTGGAAAAATAAATAAGATCGATAAGCCTTAACCAGGCTCATCAAGAAAAGAGGAGAGCGGATCCAAATAAATAAAATCCGAAATAAAGGAGAAGTAACAACTGACACCACAGAAATACAAAAGATTATGAGGAAATAGTACGAACAACTATATACCAACAAACTGGACGATCTGGAAGAAATGGATACATTCCTAGAAACATACAATCTCTCAAAGCTGACGTAGTGGATGAGCTCACCTGTGGAGAACTTGAAGCATGAGAAGAGAGAAAGCTGAAGATAGAAGACAAAATCAAAATGTGTGGGGAGAGGGAAAAAGAGACGGCAAAGAAGGAACTGAGAGGAAGGAGGGGACCCGGGTGTCCCTGTGGCCTGTGGAAGAAATGTCTACACAAGCACAGGCATCAGCAGATCAAGCGCAGTTCGGAGAAATGGGCCGCATCTGTCCATAGGAGGCCCAGGCAGCTTTGGGAGAAGGTTTTCAGGGCAGCTGTGGGGCGAAAGCTGGCCAGTGGGCAGTCGACTTCTCAAACTGTCCACCTAGTCAAGGTTTGATGTGCTGCCCTCTGCTTGAGCGCCAGCTTGAGTCTGGCTTGTCACGTGAGGCCACCCGATGGAGCCACGATCTGTTCAATGTCATGCTGACCTAGACTTTACCTGCTGCCAGCCACCCCGGGGACAGGGTGCTGCCTGAATTTTGTCTGCTCTCTGGGTTCTTGCCCTGCCCATTCCAGACTGAAGTCCACTAAGCACCCTTCCCAACTTCCAGTGAACCACACCGCCCTGCTGTCTGTAGACAGGACAGCTCTGCTTATCACCCCAAAGGTCCTAATTCTTTCGAGGCCACAGATGCCTTGGTAGATTTCTATTTCGAAAACATGGTCGCATTTTCAGATGCCAAAAATTCCCTCTTGTTCAGTCACCGTTGTCTCTTCTTGTGTCTTGCAGTGCATCCAAGGATGTCACTTTTGGAACTCTGCAGATCAGGAAAAGTGTGCTTTGAAGTGTGTAAGTGTTAACTATGTTTCTGTTTCGATATTAATGTTCCCCTTAGGAGAAATGTTGTCTAAGAGGACTCCCATTTGAGTTTCCGTTGGCTTTCACTTCGTTGGCTTGACCCTAAGGGAAAGTATGGCAGCCTGAGTGATACATAGTAATGGGGGGAGAGTGAGATTACCATTACTAACCCAACTGGAGACCATGGGAGGTTAACACAAACCATGACACCCCGGGGATGCCCAATGGATGCCTCCTACAAAGGCCTTTTGGTAGGATGTTAGGTATTTGTTAAATTCCAGGTCCTGCACTTCTCAAATGTCAATATACCCTTAACTGGGAATCTTGTTGAAATACAGATTCTGGTTCAGTGGGTCTGGGAGGACCTGAGATTCTGTGCTGATAACAAGCTCCCCAGGTAAGGTGATGCTGGTGGCTCCAGACCCGTCTCTGGATAGGAGGGCCCTCGGCCATGTCCCAAGTGGCTCTGCAGGGAACATGGTAGTAATCTAATCCAGAGGTCACGAGCACCTAGCTTCATTTCTCTTTGGGTAGGAAATATATCCCCCAATACCTTATTTTTCATTTATCTCAGCTTTGCCACTTAATGTGTGACTTTGTTAAGGTACTTAACTCCTTGGTACTATACTTTCCTCATCATTAAAATAGGATACTAATCGAATCTCCCTCCTAAGGATAGTGCCTGATACACGGTCATTACTCAATCTCATGAATAAAAATTGTGTAATTTAAAAGTGGGCTGGAAGCCAGGTGCAGTCACATCTCCATAAGACAAGGGAGCAGCAACAAGTTGCATTTACATGGGACAAGGGAACTGGAAGTAGCCCGGAAAGGTCTATATTTACAAAATAGAGAGTAGGAAGCCCTTCATTCAGATGGAAAAGAACGAAGCCCAGAGGAATGGAAGGACTATGAGGGAGGATGGTCTTAGGAATTACTATAGTAACCAATTCGAAGGGGGATATTGACCAATCAGAGGGGATATCAGGACACAGGAACTACAGCCTTTATAAGCCATGGGGAAAAGAACTCAGTGGGACCCTTCCCTCCTCTCTACATGGGAGTTCATTCTGTGGGACTCTTCGCTCTCCCCACGTGGGAGTCTGTATCTATTCTTCAATAAATTTCCACCTTTGCTATACCAAAAAAAAAAAAAGAAAAAAGAAAGTGGGCTGTATTGCAGGTTGTTCAGGTCAGAGATTATATCAGTAAGGTCGAGGTAACGTTGGGTAATATCATTTTCCACTAATTACTCAAATTGTAGCATTGGGATTTAAATAAGGACATTGGCCTCTTCAACAGTCCTCATAGCTGTTCCTGTATAGTATGTCCTCGCAGATCTTTGTCATAGCAGTTACTCATGCCCATTCTCATGTTTATGACCATGTGCTTCATAGAACGGAAGTTACCAAAAGGTGGGGCAGGTGGGATCTGGACCTGGGAACTACTATACACTCTAAGACACAGGTACCTCTCCTTGGCAGCACTTTAAACAATTGCAATTTTAAGCATTATTTGTCTAGCCATGTGCTTTGTCCTACACGTAAGCCCATCAGGGTAGGACGCTCTCTATCTTGTGCACACTGCGCCTCCTGCACTGAACACAGTGAAGGGCAGATAGCAGGTGCTCAGACACACACTGGATGAGTGAATGAAGGGAAAGTACCATTTGTTGTCAGAAAACAGTCCAGAAGCAGAGTGGACGCTAGCATGGCCCGCCTGGGCAGATGGACCTGCTAGCCTTTCTTAGCTCGAGCTATTGGTAGTTTTCACTCCAGGTTCTGTCTTCCCTGGGCATCTGCCAACATCCCTTCATTCTCTAACCTGGTCCATCACAGATCCCCCCTTACTTGATGGGGACTTCCTGGCAGACATCATGCTTTTTTACAGCATCTTCCCAGTGATGCAAATGTAAGTTTCACAGCTCTTCTTTCAGTGGCCTGTGTGGGCAGACGGCCCTGCTCTGGGCTCCCTTGCTTTTTACTGTTTTTTATTTGTTTGATTTTTTAAACTTTATTTAATTTATTATTTTATTTTGTTATTGGTTGTTTGCCAATGGTGGGATAAGAAGTTAATTTGGGAGAAATGTAGAGCTAAGTATCATTAAAATTATCTACAGCTTTAAAGATTTTAAGTAGTTTTTCCTTGTTTTTTGTTTTCCCACGCAGAATGACACCTTTGCCACCGTTTGTGAGGTAAGTTGGCAGTCCTTATAGAAAGGATGTCATCCAACTCCATGTCTTTATCTCTTGTGGAAAAGCTGGTAAAATAAGAACAAAGAAACCTGAGTCATTCTTGGGTGTGCTACGATGCTGGGCATAAAGATGGCTTTGGAATTCCATGGTGACACACGTATTTGCTGTGTTTTATATATCTGTATGCATACGCAATGTATAAAAAGTTAATATATGTGTATACACGCATACATTTATCCGCACATGCTGCTCTGGTTGGAAGGGTTCTAATTCCTGAAGCCTGGGCAGGCGAGGGTGGCAGGGAGAGGCAGGAGCAGATGTCAGGATGTCCTTATTTCTGCTGATTTTATTGTCTTCCCCATAAAGCATATGCTCTTTCATTAAATACAATGCATTCAAAAAAGAACATTTTACTTGCAACTTTTCCCCTTATTCCACAAACTCCTTGGGCAGCATTTTGAAGCACAGCGTGTGTGTTTTTTCTTGCTCTTCAATGAGGGACCTTGTGCTGACGCTGCTGCCCAGGTCTCCCCTCCCTTCCCAGGCCAGGCCCCTCCCCCGCAGCTCCTCCCAGCACCCCATTTTCTCTGCTCCTTCAGAAGGACCTTAGGACTTTGAGCTTGTCTTCCTCAATCTTTTTGAGCCAAACCTGTTCTTCAGAGTTCATTTTAGATCATTTGACAATAGGTACTTATCACTACATTATTTCTCAGTTTAAAATCTATGTTGCCTTGTTTTTAAATGTTCTTAAAAACCAGAGGACGGAACTGACTTGTCTTGCCTGAGGAAGGAGTACAAATGATCACCCATTAGTAAAATGGAAAAATTCCCCATTTAGTAGATAATACAAATAAAAAAAATTTTTTTAATTGGAATAATTTCTCAATAGTCTGTGATTACTCTGTACTTGAGTGATTTTTTCCTTGGGAGTGAATGGTGGTGGGGTTAGCTAAGACGAGATAAAACACAGGAGCCGAGGGAGTTGCCACATATGTAAATAGACAAAAGTTTTTCCTGCTTGAAAAATGAAACAAAACACTACCTTAGAACCCTTTAGTGCAGCGATTCTCAACCTGTGGGTCGCGACCCCTTTGGGGGTCGAACAACCCTTTCACAAGGGTCGCCTAAGACCATCGGAAAACACATATATAATTACATATTGTTTTTGTGATTAATCGCAATGCTTTAATTATGATCAATTTGTAACAATGAAATTGGGGGTCACTACAACATGAGGAACTGTATTTTTAAAAATATATATATTTTGTTGATTTTTTACATAGAGGAAGGGAGAGGGATAGAGAGTTAGAAACATCGAAGAGAGAGAAACATCAATCAGCTGCCTCCTGCACGCCCCCAAATGGGGATGTGCCCACAACCAAGGTACATGCCCTTGACCGGAATCGAACCCGGGACCCTTCAGTCCACAGGCCGACGCTCCATCCACTAAGCCAAACCGGTTGGGCGAGGAACTGTATTAAAGGGTCACGGCATCAAGAAGGTTGAGAACCACTGCTTTAGTGTGATAAAAGCAAAATTAGCCAAACAAACAAACAAAAAAACCCCCACATCTCAAAACCAACAACAAACCAAAACAAACCAATTAAAAACAAAAAACCTCAACACCTCCAACAACAACAACAGTCGCAGGAGGATTGTGTGTTGGAAGTCAGAGAGAGTTCAAGTGTCAGGCATTGAAGCAGCCCACTGATGTGATAGCTCCCTGACTCATTATGCTGCTTAGAGGATATAAATATTTTCTCTCAGTGTTCTAACATCTAATTCTACTCATTTCTGTTTATACCTTGCCATGTTACACCTTAAAATGTTATACTTTAACGTAGAACTGAATAGTAGTGCATGCTCTATAGAGATAGTTATAGAGATAGACATATATTTTAAATTTAGCTGATCCCTCTGTAGGAACTCAAGCTCTTAAACCAGGGGTCCTCAAACTTTTTAAACAGGGGGCCAGTTCACTGTTCCTCAGACCATTGGAGGGCCGGACTATAGTTTAAAAAAAACTATGAACAAATTCCTATGCACACTGCACATATCTTATTTTGAAGTAAAAAAACAAAACGGGAACAAATACAATATTTGTATTTGCATGTGGCCCGCGGGCCGTAGTTTGAGGACCCCTGTTTAAACCATTCATGCTTTAACCTACGGAGCTTGGAATTTTTGCACATGTTCCTTGGAGGAAATAGTCTTGGAAGTGAAAGCTTGGCAAAATTAAACTTGGAAAATGATGTCCGCAAGTAAGATGGCTTATTCCTGATCATTTAAAACACAGATGATGCTGTTTCTTAAAATCTTTTTATGGTTTCTTATTGTTGTTTGAGGAAAATCATGTCAATATTTGCTGACTCCCCTTCCTCTCTGAAATCAATAAAAATATATTAAAAATTTGATTAAAAAAATAAATGGTAATTATGTGACAAGATGGTGGTAATGCTATGGTGATCATCATATTGCAATATATAAACATATCAAATATTGTACACCTTAAATGTACACAATGTTATATGTCAATTATATCTCAATAAAACTGGAAAATATACAAGTTTCATAAAAAGTAAATAAAACAAAACATTTAAATGCCTAGATAGATCAGAATTTTGTTACATATTTTTCCCTGAAAAAAATTTAGGAGAACTAGGCCCACTATATTCCCAATAGTCAGTACTAGCTATATTCCCAAATAAACATTATTTCATCTCATTTTGCTGCCACTTGGTATATTGATTCCCTACAGATAATAAATGTATTGAATGTATTTTACTGAAACATGAAAGATGTGAGAAAGATATTAAACCCTTAAGTTAAATAATCTGGAGCCCAACCTGAGGTGTTTAAATTAATCCTTAACTAGGCAAACCTGGGCTTATCAGGCTCTGCTTCCTCTGAGCACACAGATCGAACACTGGACAACCAGTATTTGCAAATCACAGCCCTCTACCTGGGATATTTAGGGCGAATGCATCATACCATGGTTTCCACTATTATCATGAGAAACAATAGCATGTTTTCCTAGGTATGATAAGTTGAATGAAACTAGGAAGATTGATCATGATTGTGATGTAGTTTTACAATGTGTGTCTTTTCTCCAAATTTTGTTCTTTCTTCATAGCTAATGTTAATACATCTGTTCCAGGAAATCTGTGTCTCAGTCATCAAAATGTTTACTCTGGTTTTGATTATTGAGATAATATATTAATCATCATTACGTTTTTGGTAGAACTTAAAATTTAATGTTGGTATTAAGGCCGCCATTAAAATGTTCAGTTACTATAAAGATTATAGTCAGTTTTTAATTTTTCAAGGAAGGCATGGAAATAAATAGGTATAATTTTAGGCTAGAGTTTTAGGTTATTAGCTCACCAAATCTTTGACTGAGATGGCAAATATAATTGCATTGTGGAGCTTAGTGTTATTTTCAAACTGTGGGGTGTGACCCATGAGAGGGTCATGAAATCAATTTAATGAATAGAGACCCGATAAGCAAATGAAATAGATTAGCATAGAATAGAATAGAATAGAATAGAATAGAATAGAATAGAATAGAATAGAGATTGCATCACAGGTATGGGATTTCTTTTGGGGAGGAAACTGTTCTAAAATTAGAGTGTAATGATGATTGCACAATTCTGTGAATATACTGAAAATTACTGAGCTGTGTGCTTTAGATGGGTAAATTTTAGGATGCATGAAATAGATCTCAATAAAACTGTTAAAAGGGGGGGGGGGGAGTAAATACTGTTTCAAGAATGTATTTGTGCACCAAGTTCTTTCATTACATGTATTTTGAAATCTGGGACATGATCAAAAAAGTTCAAAAGGTGCTGTTCTGATCCCACTGGCAAATGAGAACTTTATGATAGTCGCAATCATTGGTGGATAGGTGTACTTATTTGTCAGGCACTCAGATTTCAGAATGTAGTCGAAGCTTATCAGCCAAAGCAGTAGCGAGGCTGCCCTGACACGCGTGCTACCTGTCTCCCACAGCGGGAGTCCTGTGAGGTCGGCTGCAGCAGTTCTGAGGGCGCCTATGAGGAGGAAGTCCTAGGTAAGTGGACACAGGCGGCTATTACTGAAAAGTATCCACCACTCTAGGAACCTATGCTTCACGTCTGTAGCTCACTCAGATCTGTCTAGCTACCTGTAATTCAATAATTTCAAATGTGAAAGCCATTTGATACAGATTCAGTGTGACTCTTCTTTCAGAGCAAAAGAGGGGAACATAGCACACGAGTGATGTTGAGAACCTGGTTTTGCCCTCGTTCAGTAGATGCGATCACTCCTATCAATGAGAGAGACAAATGTGAAGGAGCCGACTAGATGTCAGGAAATGCCACTGTCCTAATGAACTGAGTATAGGAATTGTTAAATTTAACGTTCGGTTAATTATTCAGCTAGCAGTTATTCAATAAAGCACCCGCCAGAAGCGTGGCTCCCTACAGGACTCCAGGACATTTGTATGATGTGTGGAAGCTGGTCCTGAATTCAGCCCTGGCTGGTTTTGTTGCTTATCTGGGCCTGGAGCCGAAATACAACTGAGGCCTGTCAGTGATGGTGAACCTTTTGAGCTCGGCCTGTCAGCATTTTGAAAAACCCTAACTTAACTCTGGTGCCGTGTCACATATAGAAATTTTTTGATATTTGCAACCATAGTAAAACAAAGACTTAGATTTTTGATATTTATTTTATATATTTAAATGCCATTTAACAAAGAAAAATCAACCCCAAAAATGAGTTCGCGTGTCACCTCTGACATGCGTGTCATAGGTTCGCCATCACTGGCCTAGATGTTACCTCTAGGGAGGAAAGGCCAGGAAGTCCAAATCTCACAGCCAGTGATAAGCTAGGGGAGGAAAGTCACCCTGGGGGCAAGGCCCCACCCTACAATTGATTGACCACCGCTAGGCACCTGGGGCTTTCCACCCCGTGACCTTCTGTACCTGGCCCACCATCCTTGCTCTTCCCTCGTCTGTCTCAGGGGTGGGCAAACTTTTTGACTCGAGGGCCACAATGGGTTCTTAAACTGGACCGGAGCCGGAACAAAGATGAATTTGATTAAATCCCTTTCCCCAATTTCTTATATTGCGCAAAAGTTCACTAGAGATGGTGAAGGGACAGTATGATGAACACCTGGGCACACATCACCTAGAGTCTAGACCAGGGGTGGGCAAACTTTTTGACTCGAGGGCCACAATGGGTTCTTAAACTGGACTGGAGGGCTGGAACAAAAGCATGGATTGAGTGTTTGTGTGAACTAATATAAATTCAAAGTAAACATCATTATATAAAAGGGTACGGTCTTTTTTTTTTTTAGTTTTATTCATTTCAAATGGCCGTTGTTTGTCCACGGGCTGGCTCAACCTGTGGGTCGCGACCCCTTTGGGGGTCGAACGACCCTTTCACAGGGGCCACCTAAAACCATCGGAAAACACATATATAATTACATATTGTTTACAGTAGCAAAATTACAGTTATGAAGTAGCAACGAAAATAATTTTATGGTTGGGTCACAACATGAGGAACTCTATTTAAAGGGCCAGAAGGTTGAGAACCACTGGTCTAACTGCCTACAGCAGAACTACTAGCTGGAGGTAATTTATACTATAAACAATGGATAGCACTGCATTCCTATCATTGATATCATATCTTTGTGATGCTGGGCTGTTTTGGTTATTGCTGTGATAGAAAACAAGTACCATGAGAAACTCAACATGGAACAGGAAACGAGATGGTGGTACCCAATCTGATATCAATATTAAAGACATTGTACCGTCCCCCAAAAGCACACAGATCCCATTAGTTAGCAATCATTTTAAGGATGAAACACATATATTATTTTGTCTTTAAATGTATGTGCTATTTTTTCAAATCTATTAAGTTGATAGAGCATGCATACTTACGTTATAATAATAAATGGAACTGTTAGATAATTCTTTGGGTCCAGAGAATCCTAAAAAAACTACTGAGAAACTAAAGATTTCAGAACTGAGGAAGTTTGGAAAACTGATTTACATCCTATTTTAATATTCTGAAATTATACTACCCACTTAATTATACAATTTGGTTAAAATGCCAGTATAATTAGTGCTTTATTTTAAATTTCTCACTGGCTTTGGACCAGTGTCTGTACCACTGACAGATAAGATGTATCCAGTCTAAATAGAGGCATTTGTGCATACAACCATATCTTTAGTTTGTTACAACAAATCTTATTACCCAGGCACCTAACACCTTGTTTGTCTTGAAAACATGATCCAGTTACCTGTTGGTCTGCTATCTTATTCTATGTGAGATACCCTCCATGTCCCTTTTCTACATGGCAGGAATGATAATAACTAATAATATATTGAAATGTGAATAGCTATCACTTATTAGGCATTTATGAGTCAGGTTTTGTTCTAAGTAATTTATAGGTATCAGCTCTTTTTTCCTCAGAGATATAAGTATGATCATTGGCCTCATTTTACAGATGAGAAAAATGAGGCACAAGTATAAATACCTGCTTGGGGCTGCTTGGGGCTGTATAGCTGGAGAGGGATGTAATTTGAATTGTAACCCAGTTATCTCATTCCAGAGCCTTTTGGGCTGTGCACTGTATTAAAAGTAGTATATAGCTCAGTTTAGCTTCTCTTTCTCATTTGGTTCACTCTGTCTTGATATTTTAGAATAAACTACTTTACCTCTTTTTCCATATACATCACCATGGCTTTGAAACAAATGTCTTTTTTTTTAGCTATGAAATATACATTTACTTGTATGTGTAAAACTCTGGTCCCTTCTACCCGGAAAAGTAAACGTGTTTAAGAGGATGTGGAGAAACTGGAATCCTGCACACTGTTGGTGGGAATGTTGGTGCACGGTGAATGAAATCTTGTTCCCCCCCCCCAGAAAATGTAGACCTCCCCACGGCGCCCTTTGCTTCTTCCATTGGGAACCGAAGTGTGACATTGCGATGGAAGTCTGCCAACATCTCTGGGATAAAATACATCATTCAGTGGAAATACGCACAACATCCGGGGAGCTGGACTTACACTGAGGTATGAAAAGCTGCCTATGTACTTAAGCAGTCTTTTCCCCGAAGTTAGTTCAAGTGCCAAATTACTACATGTAACCTATAATAATGAAAGCATAATATGCTAATTAGAGCAGATGACCCTCCGGACGAAGCCCGGGCTGCAAGGGAAGCCTGGGTCCCGGGTGCCAGAGGGAAGCCGGTGCGGCAGCCGGGGGAAGGAAGGCCTACTCTTGCATGAATTTCGTGCATTGAGCCTCTAGTTATAGGTATAAAGACATATAGGTATAAAGACTCTTCTGGGGAAGAGTCCAACATAAAATGAGGGCTTGGATTAGGTGAATTTTAATGTCTGCTACTCTGTAACATGTTACTGCTAAACCCTTTATTTTTTGAGGAAAATATACTAGACATACATATTATTCCTTCAGCACAGCAGCATATAACCAACTACTCATATTATTGGCCATTATCTACCCATCCCACTTAAAATGATTCTAATGAGGATAAAGGGCAGGAAGGTATCAGCACTGTCCCTTTTAGGAAAGCATGAGCCAGTTTAGAAAAAATATCCCTAAGACACCAAGTGTACAGGATGTCCCTCCAAAATGTATACATACTTTAACAGCTTAACTAGCTCAGTTGATGTTTCTTTCTTTTCAGATTTAACCGATTGGAATTAATAATGGTTAAAAGTATGTATACATTCTTTGGCAACACCCTGTATCAACTTGAACAGTTAAAGTAAAGCTTTGTGGTAAATGCCAAATAACTGAATCCATGATTTTGTGATTTTGAAGCAGGAAAGGGTTTCTATGTGATTAATGCAGACTGACATCTGGATGCCTCAGCTCCAAGCTCCAGACCTTCATTTCATCTGGCCTGGGAGGTGCCACGTCCCCTACATCCAAACAACCACCTATCTTCTTCAAATTAATCTGTGCTGTGGAGTCACGGTGAAGATAGTGATTCTACAAGTGCTGATGGTTGATCTCTTGTTGATCCAGGCCGTGTCCAAACTCTCCTATGTGGTTGAGCCCCTGCACCCCTTCACTGAGTATATTTTTCGAGTGGTTTGGATCTTCACAGCCCAGCTGCAGCTGTATTCTCCCTCGAGCCCCAGTTACAGGACTCACCCTTATGGAGGTATGGCGTGTCCTTATTGCTTATGAAATAGATTATCCTAAAGCTTTCCTTTAATGTGTTTTTATTTTAAACAATGAAATAAATCTGTGCCGTCATTAACTGATCCATTCAACAATCGAGTTCCTATGTGCCAGGTAGTGTTCTCGATGCTCATCATACCTCTGTGATCGAAGCAAAATGCCCTGCTCTTGTGGAGCTCACATTTTGGTGGAATAGAAATGAAGCAGTAAACATAATAAATAAGGAAGGTATATCTTGAGTGGTAAGGTGCCGTGCACTCTGTTAGAGGAGTGTTTTGAACAGGATCTGTCCTTTAAGGGGTTGGAAATGGGGGGTTGAGGGGGAGGAAAGTCAGGTTGCAGTATAAATAAGATGGTCAGAATAAGGCTCAGTAAGCAGTTAGGAATTATGGGAGGTTTTAAAGCAGAAGAGCAATTGTTTCACATGCCCCCCCGCCCCCGAAAGATAATTTTGGCAACTTCACATGGAATGGATTGAGGGAATGAGAGAGATTGGAAAGTAGAGAGACCATCTGGAAGGTTACAATAATACATTTATACTACATTTTATCAGAGATAGCTAAAAGAAATACTACATATATTGGAGCATTTTCTGATTTCTTTTGAAGATGTGACTTTCGCCTCAGGAAAAGGATGCAAGCCTAGAGCCTGTTAGGCAGGCAAATTCCTGGGGCCGACATTCAGGGAGAGCTGCCTGGTGCCCTCAGGCTCAGAGTGAGCTGAGAGAACCCGCGAGGACTAACTCCAGGCCAGATGTTAGCTGTCCTACCCCTCAGTTCTGGAGATGCAGCTGTGTGCAGACCTTCTGATTGAACTAGGCCTTGGACCTAAGGAAGGACAGCTGATGAAGTTGATTTGGGCATTTTCCCCTTCCCTGATTAGTGTCCCCTTCTTGCTTGTTAGATTTCAGGGTAAGTGTGGCCACCTCTGCAGGTTATTCCCTGACCATTCCCTCAGGTCAGACACTGAGCTAGGACCATGTTTGCAATGTTACAGATCAGAGTAGAAGACATGCATCCATCTTTGTTCAGAAAAATGCCTCATATGCTTCAACTGTGCTGGATCATTTTCCAGTGCTGGAGAAACACCATGGTTGTCAAATAAAAATAATGACAAATGCAAATTTTGCTTTCCATTTCTGGGCCTTTCTCCTGGATATGCCCTCCAGGTGTCCCAGACCCTGTACTGCAGGGGTCCTCAAACTTTTTAAACTGGGGCCAGTTCACTGTCCCTCAGACCATTGGAGGGCCGGACTATAGTTTTTAAAAAAACTATGAACAAATTCCTATGCACACTGCACATATCTTATTTTGAAGTGAAAAAACAAAACGGGAACAAATACAATATTTGTATTTGCATGTGGCCCGCAGGCCGTAGTTTGAGGACCCCTGCTATACTGGCTGTCCTTTCCATGGATAGCATCTCATGCTTCAATTCTCCCTCACTTTTCTAGCCACCTCAAAACATATAACGTTATCTATTTTGTGTTCCATTGACTCATGGTCCAATTCCCTTTTAGCTAGGGAAAATACATGACTTTAGACAGTATGACTGCCTTGTAATTAGGGCCCTTATGTAGATAATTTCTTCACCAGCAAGAATGGTTTGGGGCAAGAATTACCTTGCCTAATCTGACCAGTCTTTCAGGGAAGGCTTTTGTGGGGAGATTTGGACAATAATCACACCATGTAGGTGGGATGGAACTTGCTTGAAGTGGAGCAGATTATATCTGGCCTTAACCGTGATGAGTTAGGCTTTTTGACATAATTCCCACTTCCTTCTTCACCACGGTGACTGAGTGCATGGAGCAGCGGAGTGACGCATTGATGTTTGTGTTTGCTGAAGATCAGTCTGAGAGTTGGGGAGGAATTGTATCAGAGAAAGGCTGACAGATCAACTAAAGGCCTTTTTATTTTACTTATTTTTTTTAACTCTGTTTTTATTGTTGACACTATTACAGATGTCACCCTCCCCTGTCTCCCTCTGCCAGTCCAATGTGAGGGCTGAACTACCTAATTTCTCCCAACTCTAATAAATCAAGGGTGACATAGAGCATTTGCCAGAAGTGTTCAGAGGGAAGAGGCTACTAAAGAGCAAAGGGACATTAAAATGCTACTTTCTATGGAAAGAGGAAGTAAAACATGTGTTTTCAGGGGTGGGAGGTATGAGAAGTAGGTGGAGATGTAAATGGAAGGCAGGCTGTTAAATCATTTGTTTTCTTTCTGTTCTTTGCCACTTAGGTAGCTTCTGAAGTCTATGATGCTTAATTAATTAATGCATGCTCCTTTAATTCTTTGCAAGGGAAGGAGGGTAGCTAAAGTGCAGTCAACCTGGATTCCAAGGGACCCTGGGAACTGGGGGAAGGAAGGTATAGTCTGGGTCATCAGGTGAAGCAGACTGTTCTAGCTCAGGCTTATCTGAACACATATCTTCAGTTGGAACTGGTCAGGCATAGCACTGCAGGGAGTGAAAAGGCCCAGGACTTAATTCTTTCAACTCATGCTAATCATTGACTCAGTTTTGTTACCCAATTCTTTTCTCCTTCCCAACTTTGTTCCACCCCACATTCAGCTCTTTTAAGTCTCTGGAGAGTTTTGACAACTTTTTTCTAGAATATTTATCCTATCTGTATGCTTCCACATTTAATTCTAGTTCATAAGTTAGAAGTGGGGAAAATAACATTTGAAAGGGTCTCTTAGGAAAACAGCTAGCAGGTAAGACTTAGGGATCAAAAGTTGCAACTCATAGATATCTTACCACCTTCTGTCTATCACTTATTTTGACTACTGATAAAAGTATTTCACTTATGTTACCTTTTCAAGAAAACAGGCATTGTTTTCTATCCTATTTAAAAACTTAAGCCCTGCACATGCTTCTGCTTACTGTGTCACCATTATCTCTTCTAGTTCCTGAAACTGCTCCTCTCATTAGAAATATTGAGAGCTCAAGTCCTGACACCGTGGAAGTCAGTTGGGCTCCACCCCAATTCCCAGGCGGACCTATTTTGGGTTATAACTTAAGGCTGATCAGCAAAAATCAGAAATTACATTCAGGAACGCAGAGAACCAGTTTCCAGTTTTACTCTACTCTACCAAATACCACCTACAGGTAAGAATTAAGTGGTGCAAGGAAAACGTAACCAGCATGGCTATAGGCATAATAATTATTTAAGCAACATAGTTTAAGTGTATTTTGAGAAGTCCCATTGAATCTGTACTGTTGGGATGAAGTTGTCTTTTTCCTCAAGTTGGCATACTTACTAGATCACACATCTTAAACAGAAACATTCTCAAGTATTTCTGATATATTCAGAGGATCCTTATAAATACGGGCTAAATAAAAGACATCATAAATACCATGACTATCATTTCTTCAGTTAATTCAACATAAAACAGTAAGGAGGTGAAATTCTGTTTATGGTATTTTGTATTAACGGTTAGGGGTTATTATTTTATTATTGTTAGCTTTTCTAGCATTTACTAAGTCCCTCTAAATTAGGGTAGGAATGGGGTCAGGCAGATAACAGAGTTCAGTTTTTGACCTCTGTGGCCCTGAACTGTTCTATGGGAAATGCAAACAAGGATGTGATTGATGGTCATTTAGTGCCCAGCACTGGCACCAAGTAACTAGATACGTGCATTGTCACATTGTCCTTTAAATAGAAACATGATTGCTCCTTCTATTTTTATCTCCTGTTCACACCGTGCCATGTAAAACACATGTCTCCCAATTGTTTTTGGACCAGGTTTTCTATTGCAGCAGTAAATGAGGTTGGTGAGGGGCCAGAAGCAGAATCTAGTATCACCACTTCATCTGCAGCAGGTATGGCCCAGTGCCGCTCTTCTGTTACACAGAACTAGAGGGGGTGGTGAGGGTGGGTTCAGGCCTCAGAGGTCCTGGGTCATCTGGTGTTCCTCCAGACCCCCCTCTTCTGCCCAGATGGACACTGTCTTTTTAGTACTTGGTAAGCTTTCAATTTGATGTATAGAAGTAAGTTCTTAGATGGAAAGGTTTCACATTAGAATTTAGAAATTTAAAGAGTAAAATCAGAAAGTTTAGGGATTCAAAAATGGCCTCAAGCAAATCCTTGGTTTCAGGTAAAATCACTACTGATTGTAACACATTTACACACTTAGGGGTAATACATGATCTTTCTGCCTCAACCCCCATTTTATATTGTGCATCATTGTCATTTAAAACATAGCAGATATCTTTTCTCCCAGTCTCCTTAAGGTTTTCAAATATATCTAGACTTAATAATCTCCATGTTACCACTCTGAATATCCAATCTATCAAATTAGCTTTTATTATTTTATAAGTACCCCTTTTTTTGGCCTTTGGCTTTATATATTGATTTCAGAAAGGAAGGAAAGGGAGAGTGAGATAGGAACATCAATGATGAGAGAGAATCATTGATCAGCTGCCTCTTGCCCGCAACTCGAGCATGTGCCCTTGACTGCAATCAAACCCAGGACCCTTCAGTCCACAGACTGACGCTCTATCCCCTGGGCCAAACCAGCCAGGGTGGCCTTTGGCATTTTAACAATTGCCTAGAGAGACTGAACACTTATTGCATGATGGCTAGGTGAGCAAAATAATAAATGAAAATGCTTTCTAAGAAGCACCAGAAATATTGAGGAATCTAAATAAGAACCCAGTGAAATAGTTGTGAATAGCATGCAAAGGTCCAGAATTCTCAGCGTCTGTGGTCTATTTTCCCTAGAGCCCATTGGCTGATTGAGTGCCCCTTACCTAACCGCACACACCTATGCCCGCGGGCATTGAATGTCACCTATCTCCAGCCTTTGTTTCCTTTGGCTGTTACTGGACTCTAGGAAAGGAGAGGTATTTTGGCTATGCAAAAAACATGTCCAAAGGGCAAGTTAAATATAGAGCAGGCTTAAGCTTGTCGTTACTGTCATTATTGCATAACATTTATTAATTGCCCTACAAGTGTTCTCCAGCACACACTTCATCAGTCTCCAATAGAACAGGACATCAAGCAGCGTTCTGCTGTCCTCAAATTTCCTTCCTCCAAAGACTTTCCTCCTGCCTCAGGGGGAGATATTGAAGACAACATGAAGATAACCAGTGCGTGCGTGCGTGTGTGTGTGTGTGTGTGTGTGTGTGTGTGCGCGTGTGTGCGCGCGCGTGCTCTAAACACCACTTTGGCCTGGGCTGGACCACCTCCACCAAGCAGTCAGATTCTTATGGCTGACCTCAGTGAGCTGAACTTCTCTTGTGGCAAGGCTGTTGAGAATGGCGATACTCCGTGTCATGTTATTTTGAGGGCATTAGAGCACATGCACATACAGCCCCCTTGGTGGACACTGTACTTGCTATCCCAATCCTGGAATCATGTGATTTACACCACAGTTGAAACGCCCCAGTGCCTTCAGAGGAAAGCTGACCAGCCTCTTTCAAGTGCTTGTCCCCTTGCTTTGGAGGGTGGCATTGATCTTCTTGTGTCGATGTGTATACGGTTGGGGCTGTCTCTGTAAATGATGTTGTCGTTTTAGTTCACGAAGAGGAACAGTGGCTCTTTTTATCCAGAAAAACTTCTCTAAGAAAGAGATCTTTAAAACATCTAGTAGATGAAGCACAGTGCCTTCAGTCAGATGCTGCACACGGTAACATTACAGGTCAGTATAGTAGAGAGAAGTATTTCCTTCGTGTGAAAAGAAAGATCCAGGTTGATTTCTCTTTTAATCTCTTCATGAAAAATTAAAGAACTACATTATCTTTTATGTAAGTTTTTTGTCTGGTGCTATAAAATAACGCACGTGCGTTTGCATGGTTTTCTAGGAATATCAGTTCATGTCCAGCAGCAAGTTGTTTATTTCTCTGAAGGGACTCTCATATGGGCCAAGGAGGCTTCCAACATGTCTGATGTGTCTGACCTGAGAATTGTTTACAGAGGTTCAGGATTGATTACTTCCATCTCCATTGACTGGCTTTATCAGAGAATGTATTTCATCATGGATGAACTGGTTAGTCTGAGAGTTTAAAGTGAATAAGCAGATACTGATATTAATATGTATATATTATATGTATTTACAAGTAAACATAATTTTTCATTAAATAAATATTCATTGATTATTTACTACTACAGGCCTGGTGCACGAATTTGTGCATGGGTGGGGTTCAGCTGGCCTGCCCCAATGGGGGCCCATCAGGCCAGGCCGATGGGGGTGGGGAGTGGAGGGGCCACCCGTGGTTGGCCAGCCAGCCCCACCCCCTGGTTGAACTCCTGGTCGAACTCCCAGTAAAGGGGACAATTTGCATATTAGCCTTTTATTATATGGGATGTTTTAGACACTAGGTTAACAATGAATCATAGATCTGCTCTATAGGAAGGTCTAGACCAGGGGTGGGAAAACTTTTTGACTCGAGGGCCACAATGGGTTCTTAAACTGGACCAGGGGGCCGGAACAAAAGCATGGATGGAGTGTTTGTGTGAACTAATATAAATTCAAAGTAAACATCATTACATAAAAGGGTACGGTCTTTTTTTTTTTTAG